ACTTGTTGGTCGGGTTTTAGGTTTTCTCCTTTTTCTCCTAGAAAACGTGGGTGAGTGGAAATCGAGCAAGTCAGTAATTAGCATTCACTTTTTTCTTTTTCTTTCTTTTTATCATATGCATCTAAATTCAGTTTAGCTCTTTAAGGAATTGCCAGACTGCCCTTGATTTATAGGCAGTGCCTTCTGGATCTGAGAGGATCTAATTCAAACTAATAATACTTGAATCTGATTTCAGGATATTTGCACTGTGCTATATATTTCATTAAGATATCATCATTCTATGTGTATGTGTGTGTATGATATGTCTCTGTGCATACAGGTACATTTAGGCACGGAGAAGTCATGCATCCTGCAGGAAAATCACGTTGGCATTCAGAGAATWGTGGCAAGAAAACTTTTAACAAAGCCGTGACGGCTTGTAGCACGGTAAAAAATATAAATAATATAAAATATAAATTAAAATAATAATTAAAAATATGAAGGCAGCTTGTTCCCACCTTTGGCTCGTTGGAGATTGCAGCGGCAGCAGACCGCCAGAGCCTGCCTCTCCCTCCCCAGTCCGCCTGCAGCTCGGGGTTGGGGAGGGGGACAGCCGGAGGTGCTGCTCCCACCCGGGGAGGGGATTTGGGGGCCCCCACCCGGAGCCCCCCGAGCGCTGCCTCCCCCGCATCTCACAGGGGCACCATCTAACCAAGAGATGACAAAAAAAAAAAAAAAAATCCCAGGCAGATCTCGGTGGCTGTGATGAGCTGCAAAGACACCCTGCGGGAGGGTCGAGGGGGGAGAGGGGGGGCTCCCTTCCTTCCTTTGCGATGCTGAACCGTCAGGAAGGTGTTCCCTGAGCAGGACCATTTTGGAGCGCAATCCCATCGCTATTGCTCGCCTTCCACTTCTTGCTTTAGGCACGCGTTCAACGCRCAGTTCAAGAGCAGTTTATCTAAGCTTAATGTAAGTAAAAGTGCAGTGTGGGATCAGTGTGCCATTTGTTTCGGTTTTCTTCGGGAGGGGGAGAAGAAGGAAAAAAAAATAATAAAGTGCTGGAATGGCTTGAACTCTTGTCAGAGCAGGGAAATTGTTTCGCAGCTCTTTCACGCAGCCCTTTGGGCAGCCCCACGTTTACCTCGGGAAAGGACCGTGCGGGAAGGCAAGASGCGAAGTTTCTCTTTGCACCGAGATTTGTTGCGAGCTCCTTTAGGAGGAAGGAACGGCCGTGGGTTGTGCTGGGAGCCGGGCATGAGCGGCTGGAGCTTCAGCCGGATCAGCCCCCTTTGCGGCTGAACGCCCTCRCTCAGCATCCCCGGCTCGGGCTGCCTGCACTTACTTCGATATTACTTCTCGATTACGTGCGGTGTAAACCAGCTTTTTGATTAACAAACCGGCAGAGCGTTGGTTAAGAACACTTAAAGTTCAAAAAAAGAGAAAAAACTATCCCCCTGGGAAGTGGGCTCTGAATTGGTTAATAATGTGCAGTACTTGCTAAATTGCTGACTTCCAGATGTGGAAAATATCTTTCTTGTTTAGGACCTACGTAACCTGATTGGATTACGACAGAAGCGTCACATTGGAAGGCTTTTGAGTGATGATTTAATTAACCATACAGTAGAAAGCTGTATTTGCCAGGAAACCCCTTCCATATTTGCATAACCAATCCCTTCAGTGCAAAGGTGGAGTCTGGGCTTCTTTTCTTTTTTTTTTTTTTTTTTTTTTCTTTTTTTTTTTTTTTTTTTTTTTTTTTTTTTTTTTTTTTTTTATGTAATTTTTTTTTAATTTTAATACTTGAAAAAGGTGAAAAACTTGTAACCTCCCTGAAGTTCAGTCCCACGCGTTACTCGTCCACGCTGTCTCTCTGCTCATCCGGCTACTTCCAAGGAAGAGCAGAGCCAGGAAAAGAGCCCATCTCACCCCTGATCCATATCTGTGAACAAAACAGATAGACTGTAAGATCTCAGCACGTTTGGTTGTTGTTTTTTTTTTTATTTTTTCATCAGATTTAGCTGACTATTCAAATAACCTGGATGAGTGCTGAAATGAAAGGGGGAAAAAAAAATAAATAAAAAAGCCCCAAAAGAAACGCGTTAAGTATAAAAATAAAACCGCACCAAAACAAGCCAGGAGCTTATTTGCAGTGCCCGAACAGAGTTTAGTTTCTAGGCTTTATGTTAGGGTAAGTTTTTCCCCACCGCAAGAGGCGAGAGCTCGGAGCGGGACGGTGCGGGGCAGGATGCGGCCCTGGCCGGCTCCGCGGGCGGGAGAGGGGACCCAGCCGGGGGGAACCGTCCGGGATCCCGCCCCAGGATGGCAGAAGCGGCAGGGATCCAGCCTGGGGGCAGGGGATCCGGCGGGATCCTGCTGGGGAGGGGGCGGGGGATCCC